AATTTTTGCGTAGCGGCTCGTTCTCATCCGTCTATAAATGTAGGAAGGCAATGCGCAGGTCATCCTAGTGTCCTTAGAGTAAGCGCACCGTAAACAGAAGCTATGTAGGAAAATATTGAACACCAACTAGCGTAGTTAGATACAAATTATTCAAAAATTAGCATAAAATTAGTGTTTATTCTATTTTATATATGACTTATAATGTGAATAATAAATGTAATATAATGAATATACAATATAATAATGTGTTCCAGAGAGTTTTCCAGTCCTGTCTTGGGGGCCTCGGGTTGCCTTGGTTGGGCGTACGCACGTGTGAATATAATTACATAACATTGTTTGTTAGTGGCGGTCGTGAGCAGAAGGTGTGCCGATGCCGATGCTCCCACTAACGCCAATCGTGCGCGCCGTAAGTTGACGCGTGTCGTCATGAGGTCATCGGCAAAGCGCAGTATTGCGGACCAATAAGTGCTCCCGAACAATACAGGCTTTTAGCTATAATATATGTAGATAGTTTAGTCGGGCGCTTGATCAATATTGTATGTATGGAGGTGCGAACACCAATTTTTGGCTTGACAGCCCGACCTTATCCAACTATATTCTTTTTATAGTGTGTCTAAATAAGTTATAGTGTGTCTAAATAATTTAGATTAGTTTGATAATTCACTTCAAATTTAGAAGGGATCGGTTGTGTAAAATCAGTCTTGAATCTTATCGATTTTCGATTTTTATTCTTATAGAAGTTGGAATCGATAGATTTTTAGTTATATCTTATGAATTAAAAAAAAAGCACGGTTTTCTCAAATCAATAATGACTATAACAAATAATAAGGGTAAATAAATGTTTATTACTACTACAGCCGTACGTAATCGAATTGGATTTCGCAATTATTTCTGTTATCGCTAAATTCTCTACACTATAATCAATAATATAATTGTCCTCTAAATTAGTTATTAAGAAAATAATAATTTTAGTTGAGTGCAAATTATTGCAATTGTATTAAATAATTATATTTAAACCGAATATCGATAGTTCATAATTGTTCGCTATGCGTTTTTGTTTCGTCACTACGATACCTGACTATTAAGTACGGCATTTGCCTTCACACAAATTGAATTCAATACTTCATATGCGTCATTTATCAAACTAATCTATCTTATTTAAACAAACTATAGACTTTAATAATTAATAATAATAACGCGAATTCCAATAAAAAGCTGACAAAAAGCATGTTATCGGTGGGGCGAGTAGCGATTCAAACGAGGACTTCCAACGTCCAGCGCCACTATACACTCACGTGAATTGTCATTGTCAATGACTCCCTAGATTTAATATAGTAAGAATTCACCACGTTTAACAATAACTAAATCTTAATGATGTTAGGAATAATGAGCCGAGTGCATGGAATGTTAGATTCGTGATACGGCACATAGCGCGTAGTGATGACAACTGAATTTCCTGCAAAAGCCATTCGGTGTTGTATTGAATGCAGAGCTTATGATAGACGTACAATAATGGACTTACGGACAATTAGGGAACCAGCATGTGCAATTGTGTCGTGTACCGCGGCGCGAGGAACTCCGCGGGGCACCACTTGTCTAACACAACTGACACTAGACACCAATAACCGATCCAGGAAATTATTATTTTATTTTATACATGGCCTAAATCTTGAATACAGGGATGACATTGACTGTAAATGTCCATTATATTTATATATGAAAAAAGCACAACGAGCAAAGTAGTTCCGTTTGATATATCTGTGTGAATGCGCAAATTGGCACCCGACACTCGGCACTTGGAATCTGGCAAGGGCCTGGACGAGAAGTTTGTTGCTTTAGCCCAAATACTACATATACGACTCGAGTAGCGACTGGATCAGTAGCCAGAACTCAACATTGCATCAGTAATGTTGAGTTCTGGCGGCCGCGGACT